CACGTGCCGACGTGAGCACCGTTTTATACTTCCGGGGAAAGTCGTTCGGCGTGAATGGCCAGTGTTTGTGTCTGTGTTTGCACCGTTGGGTGGCTACGTAGAAAAGGTGGAAAAGATGGGAAATACTAGCGTGGACGATCGCCACGAGTTCTTGGGCTTTACCGTTTTGGAGGAACCTCCCGACGAGTCTCGCCGAGTAATTTTTATTTAAAATCCGAAATTGGGTGCTCGAAGTCAAGCTAAGAATTTACAAAGAATCGTTTTTTGGAAAATTGTATTGGAGTTCTTCTAATGTGATATTTCGTCGAGTTATAGTATATAGAGGCATAGTATCGATCCGTGAATTCCTTTCATTTTCTCGTTATTCTTGTCACGCGTTAAGCTACACGCGGCTCCGTCCTGGTAGAAGTGGAATATCCCAGTGAACTCGTCCATAGATGCGAGCCCGAACTTAACTAAATCACTACTCGACCGAGTTATTTGATCCATGTGTGCAAACCAGTTGACCAAACTACTCGAACTAAGCTGTCGGTTGCATCTAAATCGGATTAAATTTGCAATGATCCTTCGGAAGCTTTCGATTCTTACTCCACGAGCGTTCCCTCTGTATGTGAATTCCGTTCTTCTGCCTTCCCTAAGTTTCGCGAGAATGTTCCATCTGAAAATCTAAATGTTGATCCCGAGAGGAATCCGCGTGAGAATTCAAATGAAATTGTTTCAGAGGAATTGAGCGAAGCTAAACTGCCACTATAATTTAAAAAAAAAAAAAAAAAAACTCAAAGATAAAAATAAAGAACCGTTCGTTATAAATTCGCAAAAATCTTCGTCTCTGCGCAATAGGAAACTTCCTTGTCTGCCGGTACCGAAAGCGTTTTAAACAATTGTTAACGACATCCGAAACGAAATTGAAAATTCAAGAAACGAAGTAACTCCGTATAATCTAAACTTTTAATCAACGTTACAGCCCAGGACACTGACAAGTTCAGGATTGCAAAGCAACCCTGGTAAACAACTTCCATTTCAAACGTTTCAAGCGTG